CGCGCAAGTTCGAAAATAAAATGTCACCACAGCTGTCAATTTACGCAACGAACCACACCACTCTATAAGCAAAATGTATATACATACATATGCACAGATGTTCATTGGTATGCGCATAAACAAAAATTGAAATAATAAAAACGAAAGTAATTGACCTCCGACAAGAAAATATAAATAATGGGGGAAATAATACTAAAATAGAATTCAAATATCATTAAATAAAAAAGAGTTATAAAAATAAAAAATAGTATAATATATAAATATATGATAGGATTTGAACTTATTCAAAACATTTCATTGCAATAAGGAAGTGTGCTATACAAGCAGCACTACAGGTGATATTAGAACATATTTGTCTAATCTGTGAACTCAAACAGCTATTGTTGTTTACTTGCTTCAATGTTCATATGCCTATATGTGAATATTCTTGAAATTGCCTTCCTTCATTCGCATGTCCAAATATATTTGCATATATGTACACATATGTACATATGTATGTCCATCAATATGTCTTTCGCAAAAAATCTAACACTCACGCAAGTGACAAAAAAAACGTAGACGCACCATCATCGGCCAATAATATTCAAGCGAACTCGCGGCATATTTTCTAAGTATTTTATATTACAACGACAACAAATTTATTCATAAGGAACGTGCGTCTGCTTCAAAGCAAAGTGCGCTCGTTCATAACTCTGCGCCGCGCTATATTTTCTGTGCGCCTGGTTATCCACATTTGGTTTTCATATAGAATTCCTATCGCAAATGCGCGATATGAATGAAATTGAATTTGAATGTCTTCAGTAAAATTGAAGAATCAGCAAAATTTCAATTTTACAATTTGAATCACTGAAAATCCTACTTACCATCCCCCTTGCGTTTGTATGTTGCCCACAAGCTGCTTCCTCACAACATTTGCTAAAAATCAGAAATTGAAGAATTTGTCTGATGTTCACTTCAAAAAGGAGAATTGGCAACAGCGAGTTTAAATAATATTTATATTTTTGCATATTATGCACTATTTATGGCATTAAATTATAAAATTTATATTAAATTGCCATTCATATGAAATCATTAACTACTTCTATATATTCTAAGCACAGTCCATATAGTACTTTTATATGTTTACTTATTATCATTATTTCATAGTTTGTCGATTTAGCCCATTTTATCTAAATACGACGCTATGAAAATGCAGCCCAATCGGTAATCGCAATATTCAAAGAGCATAAGTCAACTTTCAATAGCAAACCACTGCAAAAGGACAAACGAGACAAATAGCCGACCGACATTGTCGATTCAAACAAATTTTGTCAACTCCGCCACGATCGAAAATTCGGCGTCAATATGTATGCGAGCTCGTGTGTATATTTGTATGTTTGTCGACAAAATCGTCATTTGGTTTTTTTCAACAAAACAATGTCCGCGCGAACTCGCCGTTATTTCGTTGCCTTGCCACCATGCACAGAGGCGTCTAACTGAGGACTCTAGTATTATTATGTTGCTTAATTTGTATTGAAAAATACTGATGCATTTATGAATTATTTCGTAATATAATATATATATATATATATAAAATACCCATAAATTCATACCTATAATCGTTTTTAAACTAAATTCGATAAATAAAATTTATATCTGAAATAATTATGTGGCAGTGCGCCCCAATCCCTCCTTGCCTGCGATCGTTCAACTCGCAAAAAGCAAAAAGTGTGGACAAAAGTCATTGCTTGTGCGGGGCAAGAAGAAGCAAGCATCAGCGTACGTGTATTTAAGAATGAATGTGTGATTATCACATTTGTGTAAATACGCATAATAAGGAAATATTCATAAACCACTAAACATATTCCAGTATATTTCATGGGTTTCTGCATCTAATCTCTCATGATATTACAATTTTTAAATAATGTCACATATCAGGTAGTATAAATACTATCAAAGTAATTGAATTAATGAATCTTAAGATTGCCAATTAATAAAATAAAAAAATTAAATACAATTTTAATTTTATGTATTTTACGTTTCGAACGTGTATGCTCGTATTCGGAATGAGCTTAACTCCATCGCGCTTACGACCTAAGTCACCACAAAAGTGGAAACGAGGCCGCTTAGCCACCGTTTTATTATTATCATTTGTTTAATAAGTATATTGCTTACGCAACGCACAAACGAAAACTAGCTTATTAAATGTTTATTTTATTATGAATTCTGGGGTTTTTACCGGTAATACAGATTTTTAATTCAAAAGGTTTTTCATAATTATAAATTTGTCATATCATAGAAATTGAAAACATAAATCTAAATAGGTATGCGCAACGATTTTTCATATAGGAATATTCGTTGTGTCTATTTATAGCATTTCGCATATTGTGTGGTGTATTTTTCTTTTTCGAAGTTGTACTTTTCGATGTTCCCTCTTGTGGAATTACAAATTAGTACTCAAAAAGTTTTCATTTAACATTTGCTCCTTCTCTACTCATCAACATTCTCTGCTTTATCTCAGGAGAATATTTAGACCTGGATTGCTAATATCTGATTAGAGAACAGCACTAAAGGCAAAAACGTAAACAAATTACCATTTTTAAACAAAAATTATTGAGGTATAAAGTCAGCTCCCACAGCGGATGATATTTTCGGTAAACGGTCAGCAAATCGTGGGTCCGCATATTCTGTATCTGGGGACTTAAAAAGTCGGGGCATAACTTTTCAAGTCCCCAGATACGACTTAAATAGTCGGGACATAACTTTTCAAGTCCCCAGATACGGAATATGCGGACCTTAGTGCCCACGATTTGCAGACCTTTTTTCGGCTATATTTGGACGTGAATAGGCTTTGCATATACTACAAGGTCATATACATAAGGTATAATACAAGGTCAATATATACTTCCAATAGCCCATACACGTAATACTCGTATATGAATTTTAAACTTCCGGGAGGCTTTATTGGGTATAGCTATATTGGTTAATATGTAAGATTTCTTAACAAAACTAAGTGAAAGTTTGGTGGCGGAAATGGGTGAAATCAGCCTACGCATTACTCCTGCTCCCATATTCTATATACTTATGACTTAAAATGATTTTAGTTATTCTAGCAGACTTTATACCAAATATTTCGATTGATGTGTTATCTGAATAAAATTGGGTGGAAACATGTTGTCAAACTTACCTTAGTTTATTGCCAAAGGTTAATGTAATCAGTGAAAACGCACACTGGTGCATAAATTCCTATTGAAGTAATTTCCGCTTATATAACTGAATTTTAAGCGTCTCTGTTGATTAGTACGTGTGATATTTTTATAAAATCAAGTGCACTTTTTCTAAACCAATGTGGATTAGCACTCAATATGAATGAAATATTTCTAGGCTTTGTTTTTAACCTCATATCATATTATTTATTACTTATATCCTCTTTATTTGAGTTTACATCACATAAATTTGTAAGTACAATATATTGCATTTGAGTTGATTTTGTTGATGTTTCTTTAAATATTCCCGACATGAACAATGTTTTTTTAGAAGTGAAGTTTTCAATCTGGCAATACGTTTTTTTCTGATTTGGTCTTTGTGACAACTGTTACTTGATTTGTACTCAGTTTCGTTTGCCCTTTATAATGACCTGACTTATTCCGGCAATTCGGTAATTAAATCAACCAGGGATTCGCATCACGTGTACTCTAGTAGATAATGCGCATCTCAGAGACGTCGTACAATGCGCCCCAAAGAGCAGAGTATCGAAGAAGATCCGAATGAGTCTATCCGCCATCGCGCGCAACAATTGGAGCTGTGCCCATCCACTTTATGAAAAAAGAAGGATCTTTTGTTCAGTGATGAAGCTCACTTCATTCAAATTTATCGCACTTGGAGTGATAATAATTCACACGCCATTGTAGAGACGCCGTTACATCCTCAAAAAGTTACTGTTTGGTGTGCTATATGGACAGAGGGAATTACTGTTCCATATTTCTTCAAAAATAAAGACGGCCATATTGTAACAGTCAATTAAGAATGCTTTAGAGCCATGATTAATGAATTTTAAAATAAGGGGATGTTGATGTGGAAGACCTTTGGTTCCAAGAAGACGGCGCTACATGACATACAGCCAACAAAACCATCAATTTTTTTAATGCAACTTTTGATAAGCCATTATCTCGCGTGGCGGGCTTGTGGCGTGACCTTGGATAAGAATATTCGAAAAAAATTGGACCTCTTGGCTGGAATTTTTTCGAGCTAACCACGGCGATCACTTGCAAACTCTTAACTTTATAATAAAGCTAAGATCTTGGCAATAACATTTAATTACAATATATGCGTTACATTACGTCTTTAATATAAAGTTTTGCCAACATCAGAAAATATGCCACCGTCTTTGATCTTTGAAAATTGTGAAAGTATATAATGGTCGGTTACACACGAAATTGGCCCTTCCTTACTTGTTAAATATACAATTTTCGCTTAATTTTAATTTTCTTAACAGAGTGTTGCTTGTGTTCTAATAGTGTTTTGCTTCCATCGTTATTAATTTTTCCTCTACCTGAATAATTTCTAAATTATTTCTGTTTGGCAACTTAAATCCGGTTGATAAATATATTCATATTACTTGAATTGCAAGTATGATAGATTCATTTTTGTAAGTCAAAGCTCCTACTTATTGCAAGTTAGTTGTTTTTATTAAATTTAAAATTTTACAATCTAACGACATATTTGAGATATATTTTGTATGTAATTCTACTGGTACAGTCCCAACATCGTTTAAATTTACGATAAATAGTAATTCCATCAGAAAAAGTTCAGACCAAACTTAGAATCCCCATACACCGCATATATCCATTTACGCCTCACCGGTCAATCTTATATACAGTGACCAATTTAGTGATGATAAAATTAAGAGAGTATTTTACAATTCTAACTAACTGTGGGAAAAATTTACAAACTCTGTCCATTTAGTCAACCTTCGGTAGATTTAAAAGTCGGTGTAAAATTATGAACCCAAATCAAAGTAATTATTTGAGACTTACTTGTATAACAACAAATCCTATAGGCTGGTACCAAAACTTTCCCGGCTCTCTTGATGCTCTCCACAGAAACAAAGTTTTTATGTAATAACTTTTTAAATTGTGCATATTTGTGTGTATATCCCGAAATTTTTTAATAATCCTTAAAGCGTTCTTTAAATTTTTTTTATTTTTAATCATTTCAGTTTCTAGGTTATCGTATGAAGCACGAAATGATGTATCACTGAGTAACCATTTTAACGGTTTAGGAATGGCGTCCCAATCTTTGGATATCCTTGGTAAAATGGCTTTCGAACTGATTAACACTATTGCTGGCACAAAATCCACTGAATACGTGTAAGGTTTTTTGACATAAATTGTATGCGCTGGACCTTGTTTGCTGTACGATAAAGTCGCTGTGATACCATTATATATTATTTTTTTATTCATATTATCTAACGCTTTTGTAAAACAGCTTTCTAACCAACTTTGCAGTAATTGTATGGAAAGTAGACATTCGGCGGTCACCATTTTTTTTAGTTGTTTATAAGTATTTACATGTTGCTTTTGTTTCGTAATAACATTAAGTACCTGCGATAAATCCAATTTTACATTTCCTGGTATTTTTTCATCCTTTACAACTAGTATACGTTTTTCTTCCGGCAACTTAAGACGGAATACCAGATCATACTCATTAGGATATTTTACTTTCAAATTATCAGCATAACTCCCTGGAAACGTAAGTAAAATTTTTTAATAAATTTGCATGGTATGAATGGGGAAAAATCTTAGAACTAAGAAATACGCACTACGTTACAAAGATTTTTATATTAATTGTGTCCAAAGACCAAACATCTTCGAAAAAAAACAAAGAAATTATTGAATACCCATCAAACATACACTTAACTTCGGACCTACAAATTATTTGAATAAGCTAAAACTGAGAATTATTATTCGAGAGAAAATATAATTGATCATATATTTGATTTTATAACTTATACTTTATTTAAAGAGTTTCTTTGATATTTATAGTTATATTACTCTCTATAATGTGTTCTTTAATCTTGTTCATGATTATCACTTGATATTCTGTGCTAAACTTATCTTCTTCTATATCGTGTTATATTTAGGTATATGTATAAATGATCAAGATCTTTTTCATTGCACTAATAGTAGAGCCTGGGTCTACCAGATTGCGCAATTTTTTTCCAAAAATTATAAGTCCTATAATTATTTTCTATCATAATTTTCCAAGGCTAATTTGTAAGAAAATCGCAGTTAACCTTTGTTCCGGTTTCTCAGCCGAACTCATTGTGTCTACTTTCATAGGAGTAAGCCTTTTGGAATTCCTTGACCTATAATTTCCCCTGTTATTGCTAGTGTTGATACAAGTATATTGGGGTCTAATATTTTGTTGGCCCGTCGTTATTTCCCTAGTTATTGTCATCTGACATGTAATTTTAGATATCAGACCATTTCATTGTGCATTTATTTTATAAACAATACTTTATATCTTTATAACACCCTTTTTTTCTGGTATTTCAGTACTTTTTTCCAACTTTTTATATTCGCTGGGACTACAAGATCTATTATTAAAGTATTACTTCTACAATTTTAAACTTTCTGGGAATTAAATATACATTGCACTTCCTAAAGTTTTATAATCAGTAAGTTCTGCTCACTGGTAATTATGTAAAAATAAAATTATATACAGATGTAAATAAATTATTTGTTTGTACTATTCAATTTTAACTTAAACTCTTACATTACTCTGTATCTTTTCCTAAAATTGTTGGTGAAATTTAATGCTTCTGACGTATTTAGTGAATGTGTTATTGCAGTATCAAAAACATATATGGTCTATACATATGTATGTATGTAAATTAACTTCCTCCTATGTGGAAGTATTAAAAAAATATATTTTCTGCGCAACGCACGGAAGAAATCAAACGATTGGGTTGAGTGGTCCTGATGGAAGACTGGATCTCTTTATTTCAATTTGCTCTTATATATACATTTTTCTTATATGCTTAAGTCTTACAATAAGTGTCAATTTACAATATTCGCTTATTCAGCAATTAGTTTTATTGTTTACATTGTATGGGTGGTCTTAGCTTAATAAAAAGAGTATTCATTGCTTAAATAAGCAAAGATGCTTATTTAAGAAGCTGTGGTCTTAGCTTTATTGAAAAGAGTATTGATTACTTAAATAAGCAAAGATGCTTATTAAGAAGTTTTATTATTGCTGAGTGCAAAGAAATAGTTTTGTTTATAATGATCGTAAATCTACTTTGTGAAGGCTGCCGTTAACTCTCCCCTCTCTAAGATGAATCGTCCCCGATTCAATATCATTTTTTGATAAGTTATTTATTTTATTCAAAATAGCGTTATATGATATTTTTTGAGATTCTAAATTTTAGAATTTTTATAAGATTCTTTAATTTTTACAATCCTATAAATTATGTACATTATTAAAAAAATTATAAGTATGTACCATAAACATGAATGATGTTTAAAAACTTTCATTCGTTCAGCTAAAATATTTATGTTTTCAAAGTTCATTTCTTTTTTTTTTTGTTTCTATATATTCTATAATTTCAAAATTATTAATATGATTGTTTTTTTAAATATTTCAAAATTTTACAATCGACATTTTCATATATAACATTATTAATATTTGTATAATTTTCAAAAGTAACAAGGTAAATTCCATTTATAGCATAGTCATCAACTGTGTTATTTCCGGAGACTAATATTGCTCCTTCTTTAATTACATCTATTTCTTTATTTTTTTACATTTACTTTTTTTTCTGGACAAAATATCTGATAGGCAAGTATTTGTATTATTAATTTTACAATACGTGTTTATCATTTCTTTTTTACAATTTTTTATATTAATATATTCTTTTTTGCATTTCGCAATTTCTTTGTCAATTACTAATTTACCGTCTTCTTGTGTGATTGCTCTTACTTCATAATATTTGCAATCATTTATAATTTTAGGATACTTAATATATATAACAATTACATCTTTATTTTGTTATATCTTAAAGTTAGAAATGTCCATTAAATCAGTTATAGTCAATCGTCCGTGTTCATTTTGTATTATATTTTTTATCTCATCTAAATGTAAAATTGCAGGGTTTAAAATTCCTATTTTTGCCATAGCTATCGTATGAACCATATTTTGTAGTTCAGTTATTCGTTATTAAATTTTCGTTTACATTTTTAATTGTTTCTGTTATTGATTATTTTAAAAATTTCAGAGTTTGTTGTGAATTGTTTATTGTTATTTTCAATTAGTTCGTTTAACTTATTATTTATTAACACTAAATCGTCATGATCTGGTGTTCCTGCTATTCACTTCCATAGTGTCCCTAATTCATTTATCCCTCTCTTATATCTTGTATCTTTATTTTGTATTTGCTCTTATAAAGTTTCGATAATTTTAATTTCTGGTTCTGTATCTAAATCATTAATATATGCTACCTCATTTTCATTATACCTATGTAAATTATTATATCTTTTATTTTTATTACTATAACCTTTGTCTGAATTTTATATTTCTCTAAAATAAGTTAAATTAGTAATGTGAAAAATGTCGCCATAGTCATTGTATAAAGCTACGTCTCCGTCCTCTAATAAGACATAATCTTCTCTTGTATAGTCCACAATGTCCGTCATTGTTTGAACAATTAATATTAGAAATATTAAGGGTATCATTTTCTGAAAATATATATTCAAGATTTAATATTATCTTTATGTACAATTCTATTTCTGTTAATTCTATAATGTTAATTTTAACCTTATTCCCTAAATCTTCTTTTATTACTTGTTTCTTGTATCTAGGATTTAGCTTATTTCTCTCCCCTATTATTTTTTCATATACCTATAACATCTCCACATAAATATGTTTTGTTAAATCTGTTTTTATTTTGTCTTTCTAGCATCCTAGTTTGTGGTAATAAAAGTTTGTCTGGTAAATTATCACGAGAGACCTTATTATAAAGGACTTCGAATGGTTTCTTATCAGTTACCAAGTCATTAAAATTTGGTGAAATCCTGATTCTAGATCGATTGTGGAGAAATACTGTGATCCTCCTAGATTTGAAAGTATAACATTTGTATCTGGTATCGGATATGTATCCGAAATAGTAATTTCATTTAGTTTTTTGAAATCCACTACCATTCTTAATTTTGCTGTGCCATCATCATTGATACCCTTTTTTGGTACCACCCAGATTGGAGAATTATAAGGACTTTTACTTGGTCGTAGAACTTCGTTTTAAAAGTTATCGATCTCTTTTCAACAAAGCATTTGATGCTAAAGGATACTGATACTGTTTACTCAAATTGGAGTATTTACCGAGGTTCTTATTTCGCACGAATATCCGTTCGAAACGGTAAATTCATGTTTATTGAGAATGTATTTATTATATTTATTTCTTTATTTTCCCTCAAATATTTATTCTTTCTTCATTTATGCCGTATTTTCCTTCGGCTGGTGCTTCAGAGAATTCTTCCTCTAAATTATTGTTTTATAATCTCCTTATTGTCGGTAAGTACGTCGAATGGCGTTGTAGAACTTTTTTGCTCCACAATAAATTTTTATTTATTTGCCGGTATTATCATCGGCTGGCGTTGTAGAACTTTTTGTTCACATTATATTTTATAATGAGATTTTTTACTTTGTTGCCGGTATTTACCATCGGCTGGCGTTGTAGACTTTTTGTTCACATTATATTTTTTATTTTTATTGCCGGTATTATATCGGTGCGTTGTAGAACTTTTTTGTTCCACATTATATTTTTTATAATTGAATTTTTACTTTGTTGCCGGTATACCATCGGCTGGCGTTGTAGAACTTTTTTGTCCACATTATATTTTTTATTTTTATTGCCGGTATTATCATCGCTTGCGTTGTAGAACTTTTTTGTCACATTTTATTTTTTTATAATTGAATTTTTACTTTTGTTGCCGGTATTACCATCGGCTGGCGTTGTAGAACTTTTTGTTCCACATATATTTTTTTTATAATTGAATTTTTACTTTTGTTGCCGGTATTACCATCGGCTGGTGTTGTAGAACTTTTTTGTTCCACATTATATTTTATTTTTAATATATTCATTGTGCTGGAAAAAATCTTCAGCTGGCGCTTAGGAGTGTCTGCTCCCAAAGTAATATATTTCCTTAATATCATGTTGCTCAGATTCATCTCTAAGCTAAATATGTCTTCTTCCTTTCATTATTTATTATCAACTTTTTTCTTTCAAGTTGATCACTGCATTAATTTCTTTCAGGAATTGTATCCAATTAAAAAGTGCTTTAAATTTTCGATTTCGTTAAAAATTTGCCTTTTACAATAGAGTAATAAAATATAATATCGTATTATCGAAAATCCATTAATTGTTTTACTCTTTATATATATTTAATTCGTTTTTATTTTATAAATTCTGATTTCATATAGCAACTGTTGCTCCCGTTCTACTAAAATTTTATAAGTTTTGCCATTAAACCTGTCATGTAGAAATATATGGCAGAGTTAGTTTTGATCTAAAAAAAGTCCTCTTTAATATTATTTTCTTGTGTTTTTTGTGTGTTGATTACTGTATTTGTGCGCTGGCATTATGGTGTTTATCTGTATTATGTATTCTTGTATTCTGCATCATTATTGTAATTTACATATCAAGTGTGCGATTTTGATTCGATACTTGGATCGACATCCATTGGA